GGCGAGAAAAAGAGGGGTGGAGAGGAGTGGATTTCGTGAGGGATATGCTCTGGATTTGTATTAAAAAGGAAAGTGGATATTGTTTTCGAAAGGAAATGGAAAAGTTGCGTGATTCCAGAAATTGAAAGTCTGTTACTGATGGTCTCTGTATTATTATATGCACATTTTTCTTCCTTGATAAAAAGCAAATAATTATTATCGTTANCATAGGATGGGTGTATTAAATTTAGTTTCAAAAGTAGTTAGTTTAGTAAAATTAGTTTAAAATTCAATTAAAATAAAATTTTCAGTGGATTTTTTTATAGCTTTCTAAGAGGAACTTTACAAGATAAATTACAAATTTCTTGAAAATGTTCATCCTGCCCTAGGAATATGTTTGGTTAAAGATATGCTAATAATTAATAACTTATAGTTAGTTGATAATTGCTTGTAATTGAATTTAAATTTATATCGCAGAAAAAACTAGTTGATATATAATAAAAATTTTAATAGTTTTTTTTAAGCTACTTAAAAGTTTTATGAGATAAATAAGCTCCAATATTTCTAAAAATTAACCGTATCAAACCAATGTTATTAGCTTTTTCAACTTAGATCGACCCGACGGGTCAACTCGTTGCCGAGACCAGTTAAGGTGGGTGATTTGAACTGCGTGACAACATACTCGGTCAAATCTGATCAAAACCCTATCAAACCAGCTCTGACTCGGTCGATCCGGCCGAGTTAACACAGTTTGACCAGGTCAAAATAAATTTTAATTTTTTAATATTATTTTATTTATTTTAAAAATAAAAAACTGTGTGTGTATGTATATTTAAATGGTAAATATTTATTACATGTTATAATATTATTAACATTTTATTGTACAAAAGTTATATACAAAATATTTATTTCTATTACTTTTATATTTATATGATAAAAATATCATACATATAATTTTAACATGTACATTTTATCTTGTTTAATAATTGACCTAATGACTCGGCGGCTTAATCGGTGACCTGGAGGCCTAACTGGATAGATTCTTAGGCCGAATTTACAAATTATAGTTTGAATACATAAATCTTATAAGCTAATTAACAAAGTAAACTTTAAGATAAGTTGAGGTGGTAACTAATAAACTATATAATTATAAACTTATTTGAATACAAGAAGTTTGTAAAAGATGAACTTATGAGAATAGATTTAGGAATTCAGTGTAGTTTTTGGGAAATACTAAATGCTTGGATATAAGAATGTTTGGTTTTGTTTGATTAATTTTAAAAAATGTTGTATGGTTAATTTTTAGTGGGATTTTGAATTTTAAATAATATTTACAATAAAATAAACATTTGATGTAAAAGTAGGAAAGATGTGATGTGAAGTGATGGTTAGTTAAAATTATGCGAGTGAATGAATAGTGAATAAAGTTGATGTAATTTATAAGAATTATTGATTGATATCATTGATATTTTTATTTAATTATATTGATAATATTGAGGATAACGAGGTTGAGTTAAAACTGAGTTAGATTTGAGTTAAAAGAAAGTGATTGGTTAAAAATGATTGAATTTTTATTTAGAAAACTTGTATCCAAGCATACTAAATTTTGAGAGGACATAATTAATACTTAATAAATGAAAAAAAAAAAAAAGTAGAACAACATATATGAGAGTATCTCCAATGAAACATTGTTCATTTTGTGCTGTATAACATAGGAAAAGGAAATTAAAAAACTGTGTCTTCAATAGTTAATATTAATTGTGGTTTCATTTGTGATATGTAAAAGTTTAATTAATTAAAAAAGATATATAAATTAAATAAACAATATAATATATAATAGAAGTTATTAAGAATGATTTGTGTATCTATAGACTTTCTAAATATTTTACACGCCACATCAAATTATTTGCATAATGTGGCGACAAAATAAAAAAAATCATTCAAGATTCAATTGCTATGAGGTTTGGTCTTTGGGGGTGTTGGCGGGTTTGCTCGTCTGTTTCAAGCATTCAGATGTGTTTGGACGAATTTGACCTTGGGGTTTGTAGTTCAAATATAATAACATCTCGTGATCAGTTGTCAGTTTTCCCGACAAATGGGTTTACTATCGAATAAAAATGGGCAGAATATGGGTGCATGATGACTGCATGTGCATCTTCATTGTTACAACTGAAATTGGAATAGCTACATGTACGTTGCCATAATCAAATACTATATAGATTATTTTATTTTATTGGGTTATCTTATTTGAAAATGCCAAATAATTAATTTCTCTACCGCAACTATAAGGCAATGGTTTTTCCAATTATAACAGAGTGAGAGTATTGTAGAGGGAGAGTACTTTGAATTAGGAAGAAACAAGTGAATTATATATATAATAAAAAAAAAAAAAAGCTGTGGAATTAATTTTTTTATAAGGTCATAATATTTTGCAACTTGCAAAAGGGTAATGAGTGGCTATATTTCTTTTTCTTTTCATTGTTGTATACTTTTCATGAAAGCAAATCCAATCAACTTTATTTTTTCGTCCACATATTAAAATCAACAAGCCTAACATGAGTCTGAACAGTATAGAATACTTAAGGTATGATTGGTTATTAACTCAACAAATAACATCAATCAAATTTTAAATTTAACTCAATTTTAATTCAATCTCACTATTCTCATATTATCAATATAATTAAATAATATCAACTCATTATTTTTACACATCACATCAATTTTAATTTACTATTCATCAACTCACATAATTTTAAATAACCATTGTAGTTTGAGTTTGTGAATATAAAAAAGACGGCTTAAAGAGAATGAAGAAAACGAAACAAAAATCAAAGTCGAGACACGTAATAATTACGTTCTCCTTAAGACGAAATTGTCCCGTAAAATACCCACGGTTAACGGCAAATGCATCCAAGATACAACGATTCGACTTGTATATAGCGGTACTTCAAATATACAAGCCTTCGGCGAACAATACTATTGTTTGGACCTCTCAAGTCTCAATGAAAAATATCAAAGGACATAATATGCTATATGATCTTTGAAAAGTAATACAAGAGCTCTCTTATTTTCAAGTTATCATGGTTTTATACTTTCATGTATAAGGGTATTTATAGATGTAGGAAAACACCTCCAAGAGATTTAAGTGCCAAAAGAGACCTTTTGGGATGTACTCGAACAAGAACAGACGCATCTGGAGGCCAAAAGACACCTTATAGTCACCAAGGATTGTGACCTTTCTCTGTCCGCAACCAGCTGCGCGCCAGTACGCCACGAGCTCATACGGACTCGAAATCGAGTTCCAATTTTTCCTACTCATCCCTAACGAACCCTTCTAAAGTTATAACATTCAAGCTGCATGATCAGGCCTCGTTTGGATTATCCTAACATTTGTCAAAGACAGAATGTTTTACGAATCCAATAATTTGAGTTACTTAAACTCATTGTTTAACCTTACATTTTCTACATATACAACTTAGAATTAATTTCTCATTAACATTAAAATGGTTTTGAGAATTTTCTAAGTCTTCCACTTACAAAAAATAGAACCGTAAAATCAGTACAAAACCAAATTTTCTTACAACCATCACTTCCAATAAATTTATTCCTACTTTTACATAAAATCAACTTTAATTATTTTATACTAAATAATATTTTAATTCAAAGTTACATTCCCACTAACAACTAACTATACCATATTTTTTTTTAAATTAACTATAATTAAAAAAAAAAAAGAACAATCAAATTCATATCCAATATCACACCTAGCTTCTAACTATTTCCAACTCATGTAAGATAGAGCAATTAACAATTTTTGGCTATTTAATTTTGAACGAAAAAATTATGGAATGACATGACGATATAGATGATGAACTATTGAACATAGGCAAGTTAAACGGACTCTAGTTAATTAAAGAGAGGAAAGCGAAATATAATTGTGTGACAATCATGGAGAGTTAGCTGATCCTAAAATTTGTCGATTATTTGACGAGATGTGCGTATTGGGGATTTGTATAAGTGTATTGGGTAAAATCAATCATTTTGTTATTAGTTATTAACATTTAAGATGACCAAAAATGTCATAAAATTGTTATAATAAAAAATAAATTATGACATCATTATTTGGATTGCTAGATATTTATTTTTTAAATGTTTCATAAAAAAAATGTGTGTGTATTAATGTTTTGATTAGAAACGATGCCGGAAAACTTGGTTTTAACAAACACAAAATTTATTAGTTTCGAAAAAAAAAAACATAAATTTTAATTTTTAATTTAATGCATTGCCCAAACAACTACTATGATTGATCTTAAGGTCATCTCTAACTAAAAAACTCATTCTCAAATCTATTTTGCACTAATTGTCTCATCAAACAAATTCATCTCCAACCAAAAAATTCATTCTCAGACTCTTATCAGAATATTTTCTTTTACACCACTTTTACAACTTTCAATACTACATATTTTATAACTTTACAAATTAAACCACACTATTATTTTAATTTTGATTTGGACTTTATGTAATAAAATAAATTATAAAGTTATAATCATATACATAATAAAATCGGAGAAATAAATATCCATTATAAATTAAAAATTACAACACACAAGATAAAACTAAAAATTACAATGCACAAGATGATAAATTAAAAATTACAACACGCAACCTAAAATTAAAAATTAAAAATTACAAAATTAAAAATTTAAAAATTACAACATACAAGTTATAATAGACAGTCTTTCAAGTCCCGAAATTGGTGAATGTCTCCCACAAATAATCAATTAGTGTATTCCGAAGTGCAATGTGTTCATCTTTATTTTAATTTTTTTTGTACCGAGATATGAATTCTTAAAATCGAGTACTTTCATCTATTGTCATTTCGACTTCCCGCGGCGGCGTTTTCATCTCAGTTTCGATTGGTGCAGTTAGGTCACGTTCATCATCGACAATCATGTTATGCAAAATTATACACGTGGTTATTATATCATGTAGCAGTTTTTTCCAATAACGTACTGGTCCTGCTACAATGCCAAAACGTGATTGAAGAACTCCAAATGCACGTTCAACTTCTTTTTTGCATGCTTCTTGTTCATTGCAAAATATATTTTCTTTGGACCACGTAGTGAGGAGGTCTCAGTGAAGAGATCGCATTGAGGAGGTCTTAGTGAGGAGATTGCAGTGAGGAGGTCTCGGTGAGGAGACCGCGGTGAGGTCTTGGTGAGGAAATCGCGGTGAAGAGGTTTCATTGAAGAGATTGCGGTAAGGATGTCTTGGTGAGGAGATCCCAGTGAGGAGGATTCGGTGAGGTCTATAGAGAAGCATGATTTGAGGATTAGGAATAGATAAGAAGGAATCTTATGATGACTCAGACGTGACTAACATAGAGACAGGATCAAGACTCAGGCAGCTAGGGCAGGCTGACCGAAGGCAGTTCGGGCAAGCAAGTTTGGGCAATTATTTCCCACTATAAAAGGGGACTGAGGTACAACCCTACTCCTTCCACATTCTACACACTTTACACACATTAAAGCTCTAGATTACAGAGCTTTACCTTCTTACTTATGCTGACTTAAGCATCGGACGCTCTTCGCCGGAAACACCTCCCCGCATTGAGTTCTCGCAGGTCTCGCGCGACGATTCAGGTGTATCCGAGTCATTCTCAACTTGTTCTACCTAAATCAAGGTAGAGACTAATCAAGGAATTTATTGACGAATTTGAAATTTATAGATTTCAAATTTATAAGTTCAAATATCCATGCACCCTGGAATAATAATATAAATTGGAGGATTTTGAATTTTTGCTAGATAGATTTTAATCATTATTTTGAAGGATTTTAAATGACTCCTCAAACATAGTCATTTGAAATCCACTTTGTATACCACCGTTGATGACCCCACCGTCCACGATCATTTAAATTCATCACCACCGCAAGTTTACACCATCAGTGTTAGCTCGACAATGTTATAATCCTGTCTACAAATTCATTCAATGAGTTTGAACGTAAAAAAAAAAATTATATTTTAAAAAAAAAATTAAAATCAAGAGAATTTAAATCCCTCAAAACAAATGTAGACTCAAAGCATGAGGTTTAACATAAACCTTTTGAAATGAACTACATGATCATAAGCTCAAAGCATAATCATGAGGTTTAACATAAACCTTTTGAAATGAACTACATGATCATAAACAATTAAAGCCGCGCTTGTTTATAAAATTACCTAGAAAGAACTAGAATTTTTTTTTTTATCTCAATTCAAATCTAACTCAACCACACTCCACACTATCTTCAATATTATCAATATAATTAAATAATAACATTCAATCATTATTAGACATCATATCAACTTTAATTTACTATTCATCCACTCAAATAACAATAACTACTTATACTTTTTAATAATTTATCTTCTATTTTTACATCAAATTAATTTTAACTATTTTATTTTAATTATTATTTTAATATATTTTTAAAATATCTCTAGCAACTAACCATACTAACTTTTTTTAAATAAACTCTAATTAACACAAAAAAAAAACTAATTTTTTCTAGTTATTTTATAAACAAGCACGCTCTAAAAAACTAGCATTTTCATTTTTCTACCCTCAGATTTTAGCTATGCATATTATTTTTAAGATATGCCCCAAACACAAATATGTCTCCAACATTTATATAAAAATATTAATCTGGAAAAGAACACAATACACACCATGACACCTTCATATTAAAAGTAAATACTCTTATGTTACTTATTAAAGAATAAATTATAGATGAGTAATTTTCTGTTTAATTTTTACCCCTTGAATTGTTTAATTTTCTGTTTATAATAAACCCACAATGATACTTCACTTAGTAAAATATTAATGTAGAATAGGAGCAAAAAAATGTGTAATACACAATGATT